TTGTGAAAAGAAACAGACATAGATTAGTTGTACTTGCCAAGGGTATATTCTCTTTATAAAATATGACATCATGACTACAGTGCCTCTTAGTACAGGGGACAATGAAACGCAAAGGCATACAGAATGGTACCAGTATGCATATATTGACTGTAATATAATGAGTCTATGTGCAACATCTGGTATATTTTATTTTCATGATTTTATAGTGAATGCATTACCAAAGAAAGCAAAATAATCTATATGCCAGAGCAAGATTGCCATAGGAACAATTGCTTAAAAAAAAAATAGAACAGGAAACATAGAATTTAATCTTTCATTTACTTTCCCCAAGCGATTTGATGGGAGATAGGAAACAATCATTTGCAGAAGCAGAAACCTCCTATAAACAATAATGAAAATACCATCTTGTATTATAATGATACTTGATCCTTATAACTTTTGGAATTAAAGGAAAAATGCAGACAGCTTAGAATTCCTCTTTATAGTAATAGATTATCTTGGATGAAGAGTTTTGTAAAGAAAATGAAGTCAATGAAAACAAACCTCACACCCATTTAGTCCATATAATTGATTGTTTGCCTTAGGCAGCATCTGAAGACAACTGTTGTTCATTGATTACTCCAGTGAAAGGAGTTTCAATGGTGTTTATAAAAATCATAGGCCATACCATCTAATTTGCTTCTACAATGCACAAGCATTACATCTGACCTGGTCTGATGTTAGGTTGTATGTTACCTTTGTTCTTGATCAGGGTTGAAGTTGCTTTATTTCAGAAGGAATTCTTTCTTATCTTTCTTCCCCATGTCAAACTCTACCAACCTGACATATGTTGGGATTAAATTATTTGTATTACATTATAGGTCTACCTTAATGCCAATTTTAAATCTTCACTAGTTGCTATTTTATAATTTTTTTCTTTCACCTATGATTATAACTAGGCAGTGCTTTTTTTTATTGTTTCCTTCATCTACATGGGTGTTTATTTCTCCCTTAGATTTTATTGAAGATTCTGTCTGAGAGATTGAATTTGGAATCCTGCACTAGGTTGCCATTCTTAGGCCATTTTATTTCTTAACAGCTCATGATGTTGTAGTACATTCAATCTTCAGTGTTACCTTATAAGTGGTATTTAATCATTTATGGAACTTAGTGTGTTTTATAAGGATGACATCAGAACCTAGCTCAAATCTCAAGGCTCCTCTTTGGGTTAAATGCCTCACTTTCATATTTGGAAGATGGTAGAGTACAGATTGTAGAATCATTGTTACAAAATACTAAATTTATGGCTCTCTAGGCCAAAAAGACAGCACTGCTAAGGTGACTTTTTGAAATTTTTGTATGATTTTTGATGCCAATCAAGATATAAATTGAGATGGGCTAGCTGGGGAGATGATTTAGAAGATTGACTTCTGTGGGTATTTGACTGTGGGACATTAAAAAGGAACCGAAGGGATGCAGTACAGCCAAGAAAACCATTAGAAAGTGAAATTAAACGATGCCGCTGAATACGAAGATAGAGCATAAAATATGTCCATGATTCAGAAATATAAGATGGTGGAATGAATTTTAAAAATGAAGCTTTTTGGTTTCTGGACACAAAAATCATAAATTGTGTTACGGCTCATTTTGGTTTGAAAGGAGGGAGGAAACGGAGACAGTGGAGAGGTAATTGACTTGGCCAGTCATTTTCTTAAATGTGAAGTTGGATAAGCTCCAATTTCAGGCATACTTTCCTTTGAGGGTAAGGAATGGACTGCAAACAACCTGAATTCTACATTAGCTTTGTGCCTGGTATGCGATTAGAAAGGTAAGATTTCCCAGCACACATGTACTGTTAGGGTTTGATGTGAAGGCCTTGGGTGAGTGGTCATGCTGATAGAGAGGAGTGTTTTGGGATCAGGGGAAGCAGATTTTTCTGTTTCATCCAGAACAATTCAGCCTACTACTTTGCCCAACATGAACATTCAGTGAGGTCATGTTGAGGGTTATATCAGAAGTACAATTTCTTCCACCTTAATTTCAAGATATTTTATATATAGTCACTTTATTAAAAAACTGAGGATATGTAAAATATAGAGTGTTACAGAGTATGTTTACCATTACAGCTGGAAGTTATCATACTGAAGTGTGTAATTTGGCTTCACGTTGCTCAGGAGCTTTCTGTTAGAAAACATCTCATCTCTACTTGTTTCCATATGAGCACATATATTTTATTGAATGTGAGAAGTGACATTAGCAAGACAACATACATGATTTAAACAGGGTTGGGCTCTGGATTGGGGCCCATTTACTTTCAAATATTGACATCTACTATTCTGAGATAATTCATGGTTCCCTAATGGTAAGTCTGAGCTTGGCCAAATGGGGATCCCTGACTGAGTTTGCACACATTTGAACTTTATTGTAACCTATGGTGTATATGCTTTATATTTGGTCAATTAGCAGCAAAAACAGCCTACGAGCACAGGGACCTTTGAGGAAGTACACTTTTATTGCTTTGGAATTTTGTTGGCTGATTGGAACTTTACTCCCATCTATCTCAAACATAAAATAGAGATGCTTACCAACAAAAATAAGAAAAAAAATATAGAAACAGTTCTTGTAATATGAAACTGTCACAATTCCTTTTCATCCTACATATGTATTCAAACTGAGTTATTTGGAGAAAAATTCTTTCACAAAAAATTTACTCTTTGTTGCTAAACAATCCTATGCACTTAGTTTTCAAAGGCTTCAACCAATACAATGCTACAAAAACATATCTTCAAAATGAGCAACACTACCTCAAATAAGACCACTCAGTAATCAACAATATTTATTTAAACATGTCTTACTTTTAAAAAGTTCTTGTTCACATTTCCCATTTGTATATGAGCCATTTCTATCTCAAGTAGATATTATTTTGAAATAATATAAGAACTTTCCTACAAAGGCTCTAGAGATTGCTAAGCAATTGGAGGCATCACCAAGAGGAAACATGTGACTCCTAATGATTCTAGAACAGTTTAGCAATATTACATAATCAATTATCATTAGTTGAATGATAGTCTATAGCAATATTTTTCTCTGCATGTGCATGTGTTTATGGGTATACATATGTAGGCATGTGACATACATAGATGCACATAGAGACCAGAGGGTGATCTCCAATATTTATCCTTTCCAGGAGGTGTCCTCCTTGTGTTTGGAGGCAGGATCTCTCCCTGGGCCCTGAGACTAACCAATTAGGATAGTCTGACTAGGCAATGAACTTCAGAGATCTGTCTGTCTTTGTCTCCCAAGTGTTGGGTTACAAGGGTATTCCATCAAGCCTGACCTTTTACACAGCTGAAGATAAAACTTAGTTACTTTACTGACTGAGACATATCTTTAGCATTTATAATGATATTTCTTAATAAATGATATTAGTTAAAAATCATATTGATTTCTGAATATGATTTCGGTGATAAAAATGAGTAGCTTTTATTCTCAGATGAATAATAGATGCTATTTAGTTCAAATCTCTACTGGAAAACTAAAATATTAAGTATTTTCATTATTACTTGTAATGTTAAGGTGATTCATTCCCATTAATTCAAAATTGCTGAATGTTTCTAATATTCTAAATGTTCTATTCATTGTAAGAATGTAACAAAGCTCATGCAGGTATATAGTCTGACTGAAATAACTGCTAATTTTCTCCTACTTTTACTTCTAATTTTTATTGTTAACTGTCAAGATACAAGCATATAAATTCTTCAATAAAATGCATTAATAATTACTATTTCCTCATTTGTGAGATGATGCTGACCACAGTACAATATTTTCCCTTGAAATAAATGCATGGAAAATTAGTAGATCCTCGATTGACTAAATGGAGTATGCTTGTAAAACTTGGGGAAGGTGTGCTACTACAGGCACTCTCCTCAGTCAAAGACAACTAAATCTTTTCTTCTATTCACTGGTCTAATACACAGGAAAGCCATTGACCAGAAATGTTTAAAAGCGAGTGGATTTTAAAGCATTTTATCCAAGATCACCTGATTCTCCCACAATTCCACCCACTATTTTTGAATCTAATGCTAACACATTGAAAATATACACAAAGAGGCCTGCATTTCAAGAAGGTAACAGATTCTACCATGCATGCTCAAGTGCTACATGTAGCGCTGGTTCCCCTGTAACATACATAAAATAAGACTGTTCTACACACCTAGTAAACCAAATAAAATTAACTTATAAAAGCAAGAGTGTATGTTATACTGTACAAGGCACCCGAGGGGAAAACAGAATAATTGTGTTCAGTTACAGTGCTCATGCTTTGCATGTTAACTAATATTTTTTCACTGTTTATTGGTGTCACTGCCATTGAGAAGGTTCCCCAGCAGAGGGAAGCACAGCTTCATTATTAATCTCATACATTGAAATAGGAAGAATGAGCTGGTGCTGCAATGATGCATTTTAAATGGAGGTTTTATACTGTTTCAGATTAAATAAGCAACTGTGACATTTAAAATGTTTTAATATCTCAGAGAAAGTATACAGTGTGCTGGTTCCAAATTGCCTACTTCAAGGTGGAAATATGTAACTAGTATTTTTATCATAAGGACATTGCTTCCTTATCTATCTGACTCAAATACTCAGAAAGACTATACTGACTTGGCATCATCAGCATATAAACCTATGGCTTCTCAGTCAATTTTAACAATAATTCTTTTAAGTTTATCTGATATATTTTAATGAAAAGTTTTGTTGCACATTTCTCTGACTTGCTAATATGTTAAAGTATGTTCATAGAACTGGCTTCTTTTGGTCTGTACAAGATATCTGAGTTTTATATCTCAGAAATTTCTAAAACCTTGAATTTCTTATACCTGTAATCATGAAAGCTATTCCTGTTTTGTGTGTTTTTCAGCATTTTCTTCATGCCAGACCATATTTCCCTCTAAGTATTCTTGAAAACATGTGTGCACAATAGTCAATTTAATATCAGAGGTTTAAAATTGAAGTTTGTAACTTACCATGGTGTTGTAAGTCTGAACAATGTGTCAAAGGGTCTCCATTTCTTATGTCTTGTCGTCTTGTGCGTCTAAAATAATTACATTTAAGAGACATTATTCTATCTCTATATTTCCAGTTAGGAATCTATGATAAGAATGAAGAATCAAGGTAAGCAGTGGTGGCACACACCTTTAACCCCAGCACTCGGGAGGCACAGGCAGGAGGAACTCTGTGAGTTCGAGGCCAGCCTGGTCTACAAGAGCTAGTTCCAGGACAGCTTCCAAATAAATGAAGAATTAAATTTTGCTGAATATTATAGACAAGATAGCATGAAATTCATTTGCATAAAGGTGATCAAACAGGAAACATGGACACTGAATTTCAGCCACCAAAGGTCTTTAAACTATCACCAATAGACTTGCTTGCTTGTTTTCACCCAGTATTGGTCAACAACCATATAAAACTGAGAAGCCCTGAACTTAATATTAGAAGAAATAAAGGATAATATTTCTTCCACATTTCTTCAACAAACACAAGAACATGCTGGGTACAACCACAGAAACAGCTGACCTGAGCAAGTGGGAGCTCCTGGAATTCACTCTGACAGCTGGGGAGCCAGCACAGGACCAAACCAGGGCCCCTGAATGTGGGTGTCAGTTAGGAGGCCTGGGCAGTCTATGGGGCCTCTGGCAGTGGAATAAGTATTTATCCCTAGTGCACAAATGGACTTTGGGAGGTATACTGTCTCAGACACATAGGGACAGGCCTAGGCCCTGCTTCTAATGATGTAAGAGACTTTGATGATCCCCCATGGAAGGCCTCACACTTCCTGGGGAGTGGATGGTGGGCTGGGATGGGAAGATAGGTAGTAGACATGGAAGGATGGGAAGGAGAGGGAACTGGGATTGATATGTAAAATACTATTGTTTTTAATTTAAATAAAAGAGGAAAATAAAACACAATTGAACTATTGTTCTCATCATCAATGTGGCTGTAGCTGGAAAATTAAAATTCACATGAATGATGACTTCCTCATTGCTCAAACAGACATTAAAATATATAATTGTATAATTTTAAAATGTTTAAACTAAGAATTCCTTATTTTATTGCCTTTTACTTTGTTATATAAGTATTTTGTATAAAAAGCATATTTATTATATGTTATTTGATCTTTTGAGGTACCAGGGATTGAACTCAGAGCCTATTGCATGTGCTGTATCATTGAACTATACCTCCAGCAGTTGACTCTTATTTCCTTGTTTTAGATATAGGGTCTTGTTCTACAGTCATGGCTAGCCTGCTAGGGTTTCAGGTGTATACCACCACGATTGCCCAATCCTATGGTTATGATTGCAAATCAGATTATTGGTGCATCGGAGAAAGGAAGGAATGCAACCATAAATGTTGAACTTAAAGGCAAGTTCTCCCTTTGCTAGGAGAATGGGTGAATCAAGATGTCCTTCTCCTTTAATAAAAAGAAGAATGTATTCACCAAAACAGAGTTAGCTTCCTTTCCAGGCATCTTAAGCTGTATGTGAGGTTCACACTTAGGAAGAACTGGCCTCCTGCTACCAGATACAAAATAGATGTATGGACTGAGAGATAAGAAATATAGAGAATGGCTGTGTATAACACACAGGAAAAATGGTTGTGTTTCACTGATTATTTTTCTTTTTCATCAATTTTAAAATTATTCTTTTGAAATAAAATTAATTACTGTCCTTGAAAAGGGCACCTTTATTGGTCACTGAGAATTGTAAACATGGAATTCATTACAGTACTCATAAATTTGGAAGTCTAAAGTATTTATAGGTTTTATTTGGAGAAGTAGTGAGACTATCAAACAGATGTGTACATTTGAAAATTGAGCCAACAAGAGAACTGTGAAATCTGAACCACAAAGCACTGGGGAAAAAGGCTTTCTCAATGATTGAAGCTTTAAAAACTGCTATCAGAGGACACGTGCATTATAAGGACTCTGTACATCCTTCTCAAACACGTCTCTAGCGTCAGACACATGGAGTTAGATCAAGGAAAATCTCTGATTCACAAGAAAAACAAAAGCACTAATGAAAAATATTTTGATCTTAATTGGTGGGTGTGTGAGAACTGCTTTCAAATAAATAGGAGTTTTAATGATAGTTATCTTTATCTCTTTTTCTCCTTCTTTGATTGAAAAACTCAAAATGCAAACCTCTCATTCTCAAATCTTGTGATGTTCTCCATCAATATTTCTTATAAAGGAAATAATACTCATTTTTAGATCAAATGTGAATTCCACATGAATGACTGAGCAACACAAAAGTCCCCTAAAGCTAAACAGTTTCAAAAAGGGTAAAAATTTAATCTGAAATAATTTATAATTATCACAGTAATGATTGTATATTTCAATGTGTTAAACTATCCATGGTTTCTTTAATCAATATATAGTATCTTCAAACTAAGCTTGTTTTTTTCTAATATGAAATTCCAACAGATTATACAAGTACTAGCCATAACACTGAAAGATTAAGAAAACTCTGTTATATATGTGGTCTGCATTAGGAGTTTTTACATTTAGTATTAGCATGATTCTGTGTTCTAGCTGTGTGCTAAATAGATGAAGTTAAGTTGCTTGTGAGTTTCTTTAAAAAGATTTATTTTTTATTTATTTTATGTTTATGTTTGTACATGTATGTGCATTCATAGATACACGATAAGATCAGAAGAGGGAGTTGGAGAGTCTGATGCTGAAGTTATCCATCGTTATGAGTCATCTCTGTGGGTCTGGGAACTGAAATGGAGTCCTCTGTAAGAGAAGTTAATGCTCTTAACCACTGAACCATCTCTCCAGCCCCAGTTGTATAGGACTAAATTGAAACAATATTATCCAAAACATTAATGAAAATGTTTAAGTAGATGTTAGGGTCATGCTTCCTTATAGTATTTGTATTATTACAAATGTTGCAGAACATATTTCACTACTGTGAAAGGCTGATACACAGAGTTCTTTGCAAGTGCTATGCATGCTAAAACAAAGTTATATTGCTCCTAAATGCAGTGGCTTAGGGATGGTAGTGACTTTCTCTGAGCCCAAGTCCCCAACTGACACCAACATTCAGGGGCCCCGGTTTGGTCCTATGCTGGTTCCCTAGCTATCAGACTAGGTTCTGTGTATTCTACTAGGTCAGGTCAGCTGTTTGTGTGGGTTTCTTCAGCCTGGTCTTGACCCCTTTGTTCATCACTCCTTCTTCTCTACAACAGGATTCCAGAAGTATGGCTCAGTGCTTACATTTTGAATTGTAGGAAGAAATTCTTAATTTACACTGAATCTGTGTATATGTGTATCTGTCTCTGTGTGTTGGAACAGTGAGAAGCTTGCCCCATTTATGTGTGAAGGTGAGATGACAACCTTGTGTTCATGGCTTTACTCCCACTGTGTTTGAAGCAGGGCCTTTAGTTGCTTGGTGCTGAAATATGGACAGGTTGTCTGTCTTGTTCTGTCTCTTGTTCCATCTCACTTGCTATAGAAGCACTGGGAATACAGAAGTGCATACCACATCCAGCATATATATGTTCTAGATATTCCATCTCAGGGCCTCACACTTACATTTCAACTACTTTGCCCACTAAGACATGGCCCTAGCCTTCCTTTTCACTGTTTAGGATTAGATTCTTCTATATTCCTTAGGTTCCATAGGCAAATGAACTTCTGTATATTAAGAATTTTTCCTTTTGGTAGCTTAAATGGCCTTATTAAATTTAAAATCAGGTAATAATATTTCTAGATAGAAAAAAGTAGATTTGTGATGATAAAACATTGGGTCCAGAAAGTACAAAGCATAGACTTTGTTCTATTTTTTCTTAACAACTTTTTTTTTGGCATTTTTGGCCCTATTTCTCTCTTACTAAAATGAAATTGCAAATCTAATTTCCAACTATGAGAATTTAGGGTAATTATGTTGCTGTCCTAAAATTTCCCATTATTTGTTATATCTCATTTAATATTTAACTTTCTTACTATACATTCTTCTTGTTTTGTGTTTTTTAAGGAAATGGGAAATCAAAACAAACAGTAACAAAGTAACAATAGAAATCATAACTATGGTGTTTATATTCCAAATCTTTATTTGTACAGAAAGGTGGTGTGCTTATTTATAAAGGATTGTTGTATAAAGTAAATCGATAAGTCTGCTAAGAAACATTATATTTCTCCTTAACATTCATCTTACCTCTTTGCAGTGGGAAAATAGCGTGAACACGATGACCCATCCCAGGCACAGTAAGGGTCCCGGGCGAGACAGCATTCTGCACAAGCTTTGCCATAAATGTCACAGCGATGCAGAGGAAGCTGTGCGACACCAGCAGCTGAGCCAATATACAGTTGTTGCTGTGGAAGTCAAGAAAACACTCTTTGGAGTCTCTCTTTTAAACCTAACTTTTGTAGGCTCATAAACAATACATTATATTTATGGATCTTAGTTGTTTTAGAAAGTTTCTTCCAAGGTCTAGCAAACAATGTCTGACTGCAATGGGGAAGACAGAGACACATTTTTCCCTTACCAGAGATTGATTAATGATATAGTAAGCCTTTGGTAAAAGTTGTTTATGCTATGCCAGAGAGGACAGGTCATTGGATAAAAGCAACTGCTACCTAGCCTGATATTCTGATGTAGAGTCCAGGGACCCACATGTTGGGAGATGAGAACTGATTTCCCCAAACAGTCCTCTATATCTCAGACATGTGAATTGAATGAACTATGACAATCCCATCCATACAACATGAATAAAAATGCAACACATTTTCAAAAGTTGTATGAGTACTGAGTCATATAGTAGTAGTAGTTCACAGGCAAAGGACTTTGAAACATATTTTTATTTTTCTAGGAATTAGATGAAAACTGAGTTTTAGAACAATTTCACGGTGAACAACAGGATATTCTTTGACAGTATAAATTGTCTGATAGTAAAAATAGACATGGTCTATATTGCGTTTCCAGAGGCTTTCACTTACAGATTATATGTGTGTTTGTGTGTGTGTGTTGTGTATGTATAAGTTGAATATACACTTACGTATTTGCTGAAATCTAAGAAATTATTAAGAAGTGTTTTATAGATAACAGGCCAGTGCTTAATGCTACACAAATTATTTATATTTTTATAAAAGAATAACAAGAGGTAAGAATAACAAATCCATTTCCTTGTCCATACATTTACCTTGTCAAATATTGCTATTCCATGAAATAAAGAAACAAAATCATTATGTATATTAATAGAGTCTTAATTTGTTTTGCTATATTAACTTTAGTATTATACTGAGTTAGATGTAAATCAGCATAGTTTAAGAAATGTTTTTTATTCCTTAGTAAGAGAATATGTTTCATCTTTTTTAAAATAATGAACTTAGAAATCTACTAAATAAAGTCAGTTTCGATGTGATTTAAAAAAAAATGAGGCAGAGGCCCTGCCCCAAATGACTTGACAGACTTCAATAATGGCGGATGGGATGGGGAGCTGGTGGGGGGCATGGGAAGATGGGAAGAAACTGGGATTGATATATAAAATAAGAAAACTTATTTTAAAAAATGAAATGAGGTAGATATAATAACTTAGCAAATGTGAGATTACTTAGGGTTTTGTAGTAATAACCAGAAACATGACTGGCAACAATGAACACAGACATGATAACCCTGACATTGATATCTGTTTTCTTTTGATATTTTTGGGACAGTTTCATATAGCCTAGGCTAACCTTCATCTCCTGAATCCCTTGCCGCCACTCCCCACCCCTGCATTAATGGTGTTGCTACTAGACTTTGCTTTGTGATTCTATTTGAAAAGGTCACTGACCAAACTGGCCATGCTATCAAAAGATCTCATGCTTAGCTAATAATGTTTGAGAAGCATATGCCAAATTCATAATTATACATTTATGGGCATAATTCATTTGAGTAGGAAAAGAACTACCCAAACAAATTATCTATATTTGACACATGCCTTTAGAAGAATATAAGAAAAAAAATTTACAGGAAAAAGAGAAAAAGCGAAGGTAGTATAACCATCCAAATGACTTATGGTTATGAAAACCTAAACTCCAATAAATTGCCCTAAATTAAATGCAATTCAATGTCATTTTGATTTCATCATAATTCTTCAGGATTACTAATGATACATAAAATAATCATGCTATTCACATGAAGTATACAGGCATCACTGAGCATAATCCAGTGACTAGCTCAGAGCCTGATGTGCTTTTTCTGCCCAATTTAACATCACCACAGGAGATTTTACAGGCCTCCTCATAAACTGTGGGTCACGAGCAGGACGTGATTTCATTATCTCAAAGGTTAGTTATATTGTTACTTGTCCCTTCCAAAATGCTGTCTTACTTTAAAAATGCCCCTAAGAGTAGATGAAATGGAGTCATATTGAATGAAATCCATATTCCTTCTATCAATGGGAAAAGTAAGTCGGGGATTCTTTCTTTTAAGGTGGTAATTTAAACTGGCATTTTTTTAGTTGAATGTTGTAGTGGTAAGTAATGTTTTAAAAGGTTAATTTTATTTCAAACCGGATATTTTGCTAAATTAGAAATAAAGATGATTTTGTAAGGATGGGTCTTAAGTCTACCAGGGAATAAATATAAATGAGTATCTTTAAAATCATTACAGGGAATATTATTCCTGTCTAGCTTCCATCCTGGAAAGCCCTGGACTTCCTTGCCAACATGTGACAATTTTGAGATTTGAAGAACAGGTGAATACATGTTAATGAGGTATAAGATATCAGCATCAGGTCAATAACATCTGCACTCTGAGCTTAAATATCTTGGAGATTATCAATCTATGTTGATAATGTCTGTGAGGAAAGGGAACACACTGTATTTTGTGGGCACTGTTATCTAGCATTCTGTTCAAGAAGTGGAACACTGTCAAAGGCAAGACAAGCAGTAGATCAGAAATAACTAAAGCCAACTGACTTTTATATTCATAGTTCTATATACCAGTTTTTACAGTAGGAAGGAACATCCTAGTTCACTTTCATTTTTATACAGCGTTAGTTACTAATTGGCTTCAGCTCAGTGTACCAATTTATTTACAAAATTACCATTCATACAGTTAATTTAAGAGTATTAGAAATGTAGAAAATATACTTTGTTAGAAGTTATACTTGTGCCATACCCATAGTTACTGAGAAATCAGTCGCTTTCCTTGTGCGTCTTGTCAAAATTTCCATTTAATAGGAATCATAAGCTGCCCTTAAACTCTGAATTTATAGCATTGGGCTTGGTTGTATGTTTAACTGAATTGAAAGCCACCTTTCTTTTCTCATGATACAATACTACTGAAGGTAGGAGCTACTTTTTTAAGCTAAGATCTTCCAAACATAACCAAGTTCTTACTTTTATTAACCTGTGAGGTATATAGGATTTTATTAATCTGTAAGGCACAGATGATACAAATTTCATTCCTTTATCTGGTTATAACAACAATACTTCTTTGCTCTTCAATTATTTTACTATCCACTGTTAACCAAGCTATAAAATATGCATGATACATAGCTCTACCAAGTTCAAGAGCAAAACTAATAAAACACAGTGTTGACCATAGCATATTATGAGTGTACCTGTTTTGTGGAAAGTTCCATTGCTGATATAGTTGTTGGTTCCTAAAAAACAAGCAAAAGAAGTATTTGTAAAAGCTAATGTATAATTGGTTAACACACTTACTAAGTTTGCAGAGAAATAATACAACTGCTAAAAATCAATAGTATAACTGGGAATAAGATCTGGGAAAGAAGCTGAAGAGATTAGTGCTAACAATAAGGGCACACAGTACCGTCCAGATGAAAATTCTTGGTGATCCTGCCTGCAGTTGGGCAAGTTGTATTTGTAACCTGCTGAATGGACCTAGACAGAACTTTTCTGTAGGTCAAGAGAAAGTGAATTCTTTACATTCTCCTTCCTTCCTTCCTTCCTTTTTCCTTTTTTCCTTTTCTTTTTTTAATTTCTTCAACTTCTATTTTCCCTTCTATTTGTATGTAAGACAAAGAAAGCATTTTCCCCGGCCTTTTGGTTTAGGTGGATCTGGATGCTCTAACCTGACTGCCATTCACCTCTTTGTCCTCTCCATCTATCCCTCCCTGTATATCATTCTTCATGTTCAGAGCAGAATTCACGAATGCAATTCCATTATGGCTCAAATTCCTTTATTGTTCACTTCATTTCTCTGATCTTGGCCACTCTGGTGCTGCCTACCCCACATGCAGGGGCAGAGCTCAAAGTCCCCACTTCAAACCAGCTGGCAAAACTGAGCACATGAGTTTCTTACTTCTGTGTAACCTGCCTGGCATACAAGTAACACAAATGGTTAAGGATGTGTGTTCAGTTAATGGGTTAATTTACAGATTTTTTTTTAAAGACACAATAATTTTTTTTAGTTAAATTTCAAACTATCTTACTTTACATATTAATCCCAGTTCCCTCTCCCTCACATCTCCCTCCCATGCCCCCACCCCTGTCCCAGCTCCATCCATCCCCAGGGTGAGTGAGGCCTTCCATGGGGGATTATAAAAGTCTGTCTTAGTTTTGAGAGGGCCTAGGCCCTTTCTCATGTTTCTAGGATGAAAGAGTAGAATGGGCTCCCAAAGTCCATTCCTGCATTAGGGATATAATTTAGAGATTTCTACTAAGTCTATTTTATAGCTTAATTGAGTGGATAGTAACTATTAAATATGATAATTATTTCTCAAAGAATTACCAATCACAAAGACAACTATGATGCAAATAATGTCAGCCCATTTTGTATACATAGTATATTTACTATTTGGTAGTATGAAGTCACAAAAATAAAAGCTGTATTTTATAATAAATATTCCGATTTACAGTGATTTTTTTAGGCTTCGATAATATTGAAATAAGTTAACTAACACAGGAATTAAGTGTGTCAGGAAAAATTTCCATGGCAGCTTCTCACCCTCTAACCATTTCACATGTGAATTTCTCATATGACTACAGAAATGACTAAGTTTATGTGTGTTTGTATCAACGAAATCTTACAGTCAAGTTTCAAGACATCAAAAGTTACCATTCATACTAATAGAACATGAGGTCTATGTTCTTTTAAAATGGAGTTGAGTTTTGCTTTATATTTATTGAAAATACAAAAGCAAAAACATGTATAAAACAAATAAATGAAAATGGGTTATCACATGTGAATTTTAAAACATGAGACAAACTCAAACACACATCAAACTTCATGGAGTCATATTATTATGCCAGCACTCAAGATTAAGGTCATAGACTCCTTTAATTAATATAACCTCATTTATTATTTATATGAGGAAGCTAACAGTTTAGAATATGTACTGCAATTGAATTTTAATACACAATATATTACAACGTCATTCATTTAAATAAGTTGTATTTTTTGTGATAAATAACTGGTGGTGAATATCACTTCCATTTATAACAGATGTAGCTGTATAAGCATTTTTTTTTCATGAAATTGGTTTCAATTGCAAGTTTAATTGGAGTTCATGTTTAAGAAATGAAATAAAAAACTTAGCATCTTTTCAAGATTTTCTATGACTCCAATTTACTATATATCTCCCAGATATTTTAATTTAGTCATTATTAAACTTTTGCACTTGCAAAGCTTTTCCACCTGCTGATCCCGGAAAATTGTGATATAGTTCATAGATGCTCAGCATTGGAAGGGAGCTCCTTCAGAAGAAGTTAATAGACTGGGCTTTGGAAAGCAGCAATTATGTTTTACATTTGAATGAAAATTAAACTCTTTCATTTGTTTGCTCAGCTGTTCATGGAATATTGCATAAATTGGGTTTAAAATGCAAGCGTTATTGATGTAACTGCCTTGCAATCCTTTGCAGCCAATAGAACTATAAATAAAGCCTTTTGTCCCCAAGGTGCCATGGCTGGATGTGACACTTCACTGATTCAAAAGGAAATCCCATTGGAAGGACTGAAAAAAAAAAAAAAAAAAACACTGACCAGTTAAGGTGAAAAATCACCATGTGTCTGGCTTATTGTATCTTCTTAGACAACGAAAAGGAATTCCAGCATTCTAAAGCATATTTTTAAGAGCACAACTATTTCCCAATACACAGCATTTACCAGTTAGATTAATTTTACTCTAAAAGGAGAATCTGTAACAGTTCATGATTGCAATTTTCATTGTTAAAAGTCCATGCTCCATAGAGTAAGCAGGTTACTCAGGGGCACAGAGTAAACATTCACATCCATACGACTGCTGGAAGAGCCCATTTAGATTCCAGCTGTATGTTAGCGTTACAGTGCTATTTTGAATATTTACTAGCAGGTGTGTTAGTTCCTTAGTCTGACAACAATGTCAATTTTACTTCTTAGAGTCTATAAAAAGTCTTACTCTGAAATCGAAATTTTATTGCCAAAGGATATTTTTTCTTTCTATACAGTGATTGGGATATGATTTCACCCCAAATAAAAGTATCTTGTAACCAAAACCACTGGAATGTTCTATGATTAGCTAGAGTGTTTTGCTAAAACTGATCTCAAGATGGCAAGGGGTATGAACTGGTTTTATGAGTTATTCAGTCTGAAAGAGACTCAAAAGAACATGGTCTCATGGAGATGGTAATATGGGTAAATTAACATTAAATGTGTTTAAAAATTCTAAATGATTATCGGGTAGGAGGATGACCTTAAATCTTTATCTGTGTATTTACCCTATCAAGCTAAGGTACAGCTCAGCTGATCTTTTAAAACTATATTTTATTTTACATTGAATGACACAAGTGTCAAATAGAAACATAGAAACTGTAACATTCTCCTGCTTTTCATTGTATATGGCTAGAGCTTTAATGTGTTGTGGTTTTCTCTTTCTGTCCCCCACTGCAAAATTAAACAAAGCTTGACAGTGAAATATTCCAATTGCTAGCACACAATATATGTATGAACTTTGGCTGATAGAATAGAATGCTGAAAGTAAATATTTCTGTAAACTCTGCCCAAAGATGTTTTGTCTGCTTGAGTGCCAAAAAAATAATTGTGACAATATGCACAGCAGAGACCAGGAAAAAAAATGGTAATAGCTTCCATGAAAAAAAGATATATTTCCAGTTGCAGCCATCTTCAAACACAATTGAGATATACAAGCAGTTTCTCCCTTTACAGTACAATGTTAATTATTCATAATTGTTAGAGACCGATAAAAGGTTTTCCTCAGTATGGCTTAAATGTCATAGAAATGTGTCCTCGCAGACAACATTGGGGTAAATTTGAAATGCAACTATGAAAATCCCCAAATAAGAAAACAAAATGTAATAGATATTAAATATCTACATCTGCAAGTCTATTGGCTCCCATCAAGCTTTTTCTAAAAGCCATTTTAGCTTAAACTAAATTCCTTTTAAGTTAAAAATTTTATTAATATATTAAGGAATATAGGAAAGATGTGAAATGTAAACCTCAGGCTCTAGAAATTTTCAAAAATGAAAGTTTAGCTACAATATAGAATTATTATCAACATATTATGATTTATTTAATTAATAAAATACAGAAAATTAAATGATAAGAAAAATATAAAAGTCACAACATGACTTAAATAATTCTACACAATAAAATTTAATTTCACTAAGTAATATCAGAAAGTCAGTCTTTGAAACTAAGAAGTGTAACACAGAGGATAATTTTAGCTCCATGAGGTAGAGATTGCTTGGGGGGTACCTCTCTTTGGCTCTGTGCTTGCCTGTCTGTCTGTCTTACACACATACACACAAAACATATATACATAATAATTGAATTTTTAGAAAGCCTGATTGTTAAATATGAAGGCAAGCACTGTCTGTGAATCATTGAGTGTTTATAAGGGGGGCTGTACTAGTGTCAGCCATCACTTTATTTGCAACAATTACACTAATGGTTATTTTTAAATGAAGGGATTTCCCCTTTCTGTTAGAGAATAGCATGGAATTAGATCACCAGGATTACAGGGTGATGTTTCTGACACACATGTCCTATTACTCTCCATGCTTTCTTGAGTACTGGATTTCTTGAAAAAGGTCCTTATAATTTTTACCTTATTTAATTTTTACATTATTACTGATTCATTTGGTTAATAAATGTTGACTGAATTTATATTTTAGGCTTTAGTGATATAACAATGAATACTAGGCATCCATTTATGAGTTTAGCCCACATTGCTCATAATTTGTTAACCTAAATGGACTCTGTAGTGGATGGCAGCCCATTTGGATAATTGTAGTTTTCAATTTGTAGGTTAAAGTTCCAATGCTTTTTGAGGTAACTCACTTGGAATAATGAATGGTAAGAATCTGTTCACACTTATAGTCAACATGTAAAAATGACCAAAAGTATCAATTTTTAAAATCAGAATTGTGATTTTACTATTTTGAATATTTAAATTAAAGCCATGCAGAACATTGGAAGGAAGTCTACTCATGTTCAGCTTGGGTAACTAAAAACAAGAAATTAACTGCTGAGCTGAACTCCTGAAATCCAGTTGCAGAAAGGGAGGAGTGATGAGCAAAGGGGTCAAGACCAGGCTGGAGAAGCCCACAGAGACAGCTGACCTGAGCAAGTGGGAGCTCATGGACCCCAGTCTGACAGTTGGGAAATCAGCATACGACCAAACTAGGCCCTCTGAACATGGGTGTCAGGAGGGCTGGGCAGACTATGGGGCCTCTTGTATTTAGTACTAGTGCACAAATGGACTTTGGGAGTCCATTACTCAAGGAGGGATACTCTCTCAGCCTAGATACACAGGTCCTGAATCAAATGAAGTGACAGACTTTGATGATTCCCTATGAAAGGCCTCACTCTCCCTGGGGATTGGATGGGGGAGTGGGATGAGGGTAGGTCAGTGGGGGCCATGGAAGGATGGGAGGGAGAGGGAACTGAGATTGATATGTAAAATAAGATTGTTTCTAATTTAAATTAGAAAAAGAAATATGAATAATATTCAAGATGAACATTGTGGCACTTGCTTATAATCCCAGTACTCCAGCAATGGAGGCCATGGGCTCAGAGGTTCATCACCATCCTGAGCCACACAGTGAATTCAAGCCCATGCTTGCATATAGAGGACCTTGTCTGCCCCCCCCCAAAAAAAAAGAAGCAAGTACAAGTGCTACTAAAAAGCTTGATAGCATGTGGCCACAATGCTTTCACTGTGCCTAGTGTTTTAAGCACTGGGTGAGATACTACAGTTAATATTTTGCAAATAAGAGCTTTAGAGGGATTGTCTGAGTGAAGCTAGTACTGTTATGTAAGTTAAAATGAGACTAATAAATTTTCCAATAGAAGATTATTCAACTATTACTATTAAAGATCTTTCCTGCAGTTTAGCAGGTACATGTTTGACTGGCATTCCCTCATTTTTTCTGTAAGTTTTACTTTATCTTTTCTTCATAATAAAATTGAACCATGTTTCCCAAGTCTGTGAAGCAGGTGCATATATTTATACATAGAGTGTTAAAAGGAGTAAGGGCTCATGTAGCTTCAAAAGTAAATGTTGAATCAACTGAAAATTATAACCTAAGGCCTTTATTATGTATATGTGTATGTGTATATAAACATACGTATGTATGCCTACATGACACATGTGTTACATTAAATGAAATCACATGAAGTTTTGGGACTACAAACAGTATTTATGTCTACTTGGTTTTTGGTATCCAAGTTTATTTTGTATTTCCAAATTTACCAGTAAGAACCCATTGTATTATTTTATCAAAATATTGTAAGTAAGTGTTCACTTATATGTAATTCATATCAAAATGTGATCCCTGTTCAAACTCTTCCAGTAAGCAAGTGCTATAAAATGAACAGCATGTATGATACCAATGTTGATCTAGTTCCCATGCCCTTCCTTGCTCCAACCTCAACATACCTAATTCCTGAAGAACCTACCCAGACCAATAGAGACTCAGGAAAGGGGGGCAAATACTTGCCCATTTTCGAAGTTTATAGAGTAATTATTGGTAATAAATTGTCTGTTACTAACATAAGCATTCCTTACTCGGACTTAGTCACTGATCTTCTTTTTTTTTGTAATTTAAATTGGAAACAATCTTACTTTATATATCAATCCCAGTTCCATCTCCTTCCCATCTTCCCATGACACCCACCAACCTCCATCCCATCCCTCTTCTGCTCCATAGAAAGTGTGAGGCCTTCCACGGGTGATCATCAAAGTCTGTCACAAGAAAATATCATAAAATAATGTATGCATTAGCTTAGATATCTTTCTTCATTTGGCAAGCTAAATGTATGTCCCCAAATGCACACAAGGCTCACATATCATGCCAGATATACTACAAAGTTCAAAAGAAGAAATTTTGAATGGGAAGGATTTTATCTTCCAGGTCACTTATAAAAATAATACAAATTGTTAATTATATATTTTGTCATTTAAGAAGAAAATGTAAGCCAAGAATTTTTATGACTTTGCATTTAACTGTATTGATACTTCCAAGATTTATTTTGATTAGTGTCTGGTTTTCTAATTGACAGTCTAATTAGATGTATCTACAAGAGCACTCTCCACAGAGATTTCAGTGTCCCAGTTGTCCTGGGAGATAGATATACAGCTGAACCTGTTGGTGCTTGAAATTAGGCCGCACTCACCCTGAAGACTGTCATTTCTTCCAGAAGAACCTCTTCTAAGTCATGCCAAGTCTCCTTGGGGACTGAGACCACCTTAAGGACCGTTCCAACATCTTTAAAAGAAAGCAGAGGGAAAGGCCATAGTGGAAGTAGATTAGGATAGAGTTTACACCAATGGGACAATAAGGATTTTTGCAAAAAGGTATTTTTGTTTTTAACTTGTGGAACAGACAGTATGTGTGTTAGCCACAGCACACATGGAAAGCTCAGGAGAAACCCCTGCAAGTCAGTTCTTGCATTCCACTTTGGTAGAGGTAGATTTCTTTCATTGCCTGTGATGCCTTGTAGCCATTTCCAGGTTAACTGGTCTGTGAACTTCTGAATCTCCAGCTTCCATCTCCCCATGGAAAGTACTTTTGCATACTGAGCAATCTCGATAGCACCACCAAAATAAAAATTTTCCAGCACGACACTTCATATTTCTTTACCTTGTGGATACATTAGTAAACTCCTATATACAAATGCATGTAGTGCAGGTAGACTATAAGCTATAAAGATAGCCTTGGAACATAGAGTTCAATTTTTAGAACTATATAAAACTTAAAAGAAGATTTTAAATTTACATTTTTATATATACTTGTGTATATAAAACATACATAAGAGACTTTCCACTTTTATTTTGAAAGCAGCTTATGTCCATGAAGGCTCTGCAGATGTGAAATGTAAGGGCTATTCCTCATCCCTGGTGCAAGAGCCTCAGAGTTCAGTAGCACACCCCTCCCCTAGTATCTGTGGCACTTCAAGGCCATTAAGGCAGCCAATGATACTGATGTGATGAATGACAATAATTTCTCAAAATAAACACTTCAGTTTACTCACCATAGTGGTTTGCCTATAATTGGCAATCAGTTTTAGAAGCTTAAAGAAATTTAAATTCAGCCATATAAAATATTTCAAAATAAATTTTACTTCATAGAGATTTAAGTTACTACCAAGAGAAGAAATGCTGTGATTTCATTTGAGTAATGTTAATTTTTCTGTTAGAGGTGTGATTCCATTCTTTGTTATAAGGCAAATAAGGTTAAGACATCAAGTCTAAACCACTTCAGTTTTGAGTAAATTTGATCAATTCTTTGTAGTTTCATTGGCTTATTTGTGCAAACTTCATCTTTTTCTGAAGAAACTCTTACCAATATGGACAGGTATACCAGAAACATAACCTAAAATATTGACTCTGCTACCCACTCCCCTCAGTCAATTGTCACAAAGTACTCTGTGATCAAGGCTATTCCTTTTAAAGTTTTTTAAAAAGTGCACTTTTAAGAGGATCCGTGTGTGTTTACAGGACCTTAGCCTGCTCGTAACACCAAAGATTAAAGGGAAATTAGGTTAATCTACTTAGTGACTCCACTGGGTCTCCTGGACTCAAATACAACTTTATCTGTGTTCCAGATCAAGTTTTACCGAATAGTATTTCAAACAATTTCACACAAATTGAATCAGATTACTCAACAAGGATCAATGTGCTATGAAGTGAAACTTAGTTAAAAGATAAAATTACTGTAATCAATTTACTTGCTGACAGATGACCCTGGTCTGTGCTGATCTACAACCATCCACATCATCCAATGTTCAACATCCTCTTGAAAAGTTTTTTTTGTGTGTGTGTGTGTGTGTGCGTCCTAGAGGAATTAAATGCTCATGATTGGTTGGCTTTGGTCAAATACCCAGAAGCAGGCTTTGTTGCTTTGAGAGTGAATACAGCACTTCAGATCCAGAGATGGAGAACAAGGCTGACGTGACATTATTGAACAAACCCAGTTACTCTGCAGAGACTCAATTATAATTTGACATTAAAAGGCAAGTTAATATTACCGAAAAGAAATATTATCATGTATTTCCTGATTATGTTTGTAACCTGTAGGTGCTATGCACAGTCACTGACATATGGAACACTCAATCTCATTAGGTTCCTTTATTTGGTATGGGGCATTCTTATCTGTAAAAGGATACCTTAATGTAATGCTAAGAATCTGCCACTGCTAAACCTGGTAATGTCAGGATTTCACAATTAAGTTAATGAATCTTAAAGACATTTTACTACACATTTCTGTTCTGTCTTAGTCAATATAATTTTCGTTCTGTTTCTCACCAAGGGAAAATAAATGTTACTATACAAGATTTGGTAGAGCACTCTTCTGTATTTTGTTTCTTGTTGATTGATGTCAGTTAATGAAGTTAATGGAGACTAGGAATTTATCACCTTGGAATCTGACATTAAGTAGCAAGTTTCAGACTTGTAACTGGTACTTTCATGAATATCATCACCACTGAGAGAGGATGGGGAAACAAAATAACATGTCAGAGGAATAGTATGATTGGTTCTAAAATTACACCTGCAGAAACTTGTTTGTAAAGGTGAAATTAGTGAAAGGATTTTATTACTTTTCTAAAGAAATGTATCTGATAAATGTTGAATCAATTTTTTGATAAACGTTTTTTTCCATATTTCATTTGTATGGTAGAAACAATGAATAAATAAATTTGGTAACCTTTATTTGATTGAAGGTTTTCATTAATTATAATGTTATAGTTCAAATAAGTTTGCAGTAACATATTCTTGGGCATATATTCAATATCCTGGGAATTTCAGTCATGATTTGAGAAATATTGTGTGTGTTTGTCCCTAACCAGAAGAATTATGATTAAATACATTGACTATTTAGCAATTAAATTTACCTGATTGCACTGATCAGATTTATTTTAAAGAAAATATATTTTAGGCAAAGCATCTACAAAATGATAACATAATTTTAATGGTAAACTAGTCTGGTATATTGAAAATGAATGTAGAGCTTTTCCTTCATTCTCTGTATACTTAGTCAGCTAAATATAGTGTACTGGAAGAAAATTTATAGTAGAGATTCAAAAGTGTACCTGTTCCGATGAACATGACATCATACTGGCCATCTTCTGCATCCACTCGGTCTACAACAATTTGTGTGAACTGATAATTTACATCCGTCTTGATCATTATTGGGCGGTTATTAATAGGGAATACTGGGTTGTACATGGCTGGATGACTTCTTGCAAAGGTTATGACATCATCAGGAAGGTCCTTTGTGGAGTCAAATCCACCAAATGTTTTACTTGGACACTTAGGAAAAGGAGAATACCTTTTAAATAAAATCTAATGATTAAGATTATAAATTATAAAATAACATATCTTCAAAAGTCTATAAGTCTAAACCTGTAATTAAGCTCTAATATATTTGAAACTGACTGAATAATATTAGCTGTTACCAGTTCTTATGTACATAAATTACTAGATTAAATTATCAGTATATATTTCCAAGCAAATATTAAATCTCAATATTAATGAATGTTTAGTTATATCATCATTTCTTGCAAAACTTGCAAATGTCTCTGAGGTGATCAGTATTCTGGAAAGGACTGATATCCCTGTTAAGTGCTTCTTTTCCATAATAGATGTTTAACATAATGCATGAAATACATTACAATTAAATACAACTAATGGTATTTATAGAAACAATGTTTTCCTTGAGTTATATATAACTGTTTTTAGCTTAGAGTCTCACTCAAATATAAATAGTCTTTCCCAACTGAAAGACAATAAAAAATTTCTTTATTGTCTGGCTCATAAAACAAGGTTAGAAACATTATTAATGACCTTAATAAAATAAAATAATTCAGGCTTTATTTAGTGTCTACCAGTACATGACACAGAAACTAACCAATCAGAATGGAGTCAGCATGGCTAAGCTAAATACACATTGGCATACAAAGAAGGAAAGAATGTGTTTTTGTGAGCTGGCAGTATATTAAATCTGGAAAAAGTCAATAAAAAGCATGAGAAAATCAAGGTTTATTGTCTCCTCACTTTAATTCACTATGTAGAACAGTGTTATAGTGTACAGTATACCCAGTATTATATAGATTGTCCTACAGTTCAGAAATACTTCTCTTTTAATATAAATGCTTGAGAGGTAAGATGTAATCAGAAGATGATCCTTATCTTACAATTAGAAATCAACCTCTTGCCAGTTACTTGACAAATTCATTAATAATTCATGAAATATTAAAATAATGTTTTAAAATAGGAATACCAAATATATATATATATATATATATATATATATATATATATGCATATCTGTTTGACCTGCATATGGATTAGACATGATGATAAAATAATGTACTTCAACTTTTGACATAAATTAGAAATTTATGTGAATATTTATATAGAAATATCAAATATCTACATTAAAACTTACAAAAAACAATACAGCATTTGAAAGGCTTAAGATTATTTATGGGAGTAGAGAGATGGCTTGGCTTCTTCCAGAGGACTTGGGTACCCATTCCCAGTACCCACAAGATGGTTCATGTCTATCTGTGACTGCAGTCCCTGGATATCCAATACCCTTTCTGGACTTCAGGGACTGTACACATGTGTAGTACAGACATATGCAGGCAAAACACCCACAAACAGATAATAAAGAATGAATTTAAAAAAGAATCTCTGTGTTCTCCTTTACATTGCATAAAGACATCAGACACCATTGCAGAAATGTGTGCATAAAAACTATAGTTAAGGATTATTTTAATCTTCTTACCACTTGTTTTAACTCCTTCCTATACTGTCTGGTTTTAAATATAAAATATAATTTGCTTGTAGGAATTTCTTTAAATTTCAATAATAGCTGGGTTGTGGTGGCACATGACTTTAATTGAAACCCTAACCCTGCCACTGGGAAAAAAAGTTAACTGATAAGTCCTTAATTACTTCTATAAAAATCAAGTAAAAGAATTCTTAGTGTTTGAATAACTGAGGATTTTGACAGCCAAAGGACACACTAAATTGCATAGTTCAACAAAGACATGGGGTGGGAGAGTCATTATAGACTCAAAATGACATGAGAAGAATATGGGCAAGTCTCAACTTCACCTTACTAACTCAGTATAGTGTCATCTGAGAGCCAGTCAGTCGGGGTTTGTCTGGATCACACTGGTTAAGGGACATGTCTGTGAGACGGTTTTTTGTTTGGTAACTGATGTAGGATGAGCCAGCCCACTGTGGGCAGTGTCATTATGGGTGTGAGCTTCTGGGTATAAGGAAGCTAGCTTAGAAAAAGCTAGAGTGCTTGCCATCTAGCTGTTCTTCCACGGCTTCTGTTTCAAGCTCCTGTCTTGGCTCCCCTCGATGATGGACTGTATAATGTGCCATCTGAAATAGACTGTTTCTAGGATTCCACCTCCCCTTAAAGAAAATTTTAACTTCAGACATAGTCTTCAGGCTGACTAACTCTGGATTGCTATCATATCAATGAGTTTCTTTGTACGTATTTTTAAAAATAATATGTTGGTACTTTTTAAAATTTAGTTCGACACTTTTTCATTGGGATGATAATGCAGCAACTCAATCCAAAACCATGAGATTATAATGTTGGTTTTAATACTGTTTATCTGAGCACAGCCTACCACATAATCAAAAGCAGCAGCATTCTCAGAGAGAGCTAGTCCATATACTTTCTATTAGTTTTTGTGTTCCACAAAGGCCATTTTCTTCTGCTCAGAAGGAAAGTGTATAGGCTGCTCACTGATGTTTTGCTTAAATTGTTAGCGACACAGAATGATAAGGAAAGCATTTAAATACTGACGTACAGAACATGACTTTTCGTGTAGAATTATAGGGAACCACACAGAATCCCAGTCTTGCACTTCTATTTATAGTCGTAGAGTCTTTGTTCTACATTGTGCTAATGCTTACACCTGAACTTATTTGTCCCATTTGTCAAAGACATAATTATTCCATGTGTTAATTATCAAAGCCACTTACAGTTCCCGGCCGTGGGTAGGGGACTCTTCCTTGATAAGGCACCCACTGATAGTTGGGACCATCTCTGTGAGCATATGGACCAAGGAACACCCTTCTCACATCACTCATGCTGTACATACACACAGCAGAACCTTTGAAGATGTTGCTAGGAGGGAAAAAAATGGAAACTGGTGATGGGATGGTTCAGATATCATGATGATGCTTCAGATGTTAATAATCAAAACAACATAGCCTTTGCAATCACAAATGTTGTTTGGGATTAGTTTGGTCTCAGTGATGTATTTTATCACTGTATAAAGGAATAAATCATGATTTGTTCATAGTGTGTGAAATCTTATTTGATATAGATCAATATATGCATTCTTATCAAATATAAGTCATTAAAGCTGAACAGAAAGACACATGTGGGTGATCACCTATGAATGACTATTTGGTGGTTTTGATGTCATAAAGAAATAAAAGCTAAAACTTCTGTTTAACCCTCAAGTGTTATTATTGTAGAAAGAAAAGTATCATAGTACCAAGAGTCTTTCAAAAGTTATAAAGCCAAATGGGAGCTCAAAAAGAATGTACAAAGGCATGTCACATTATAATATTTTCAACTACCAAACCAGCAAGTTATGAACTGATGTAACTGAGCTGATATTTGAAATCCATGATGGATTAATCATTGTCTCTGTACAACACTGAGCATAGTTTGAAAGTGGTAGCTGTCACACAATGGTCAAAGTGGAGAATTATGGCAGATATTCCTATCATTCTATGAATCAGAACCAAGCAATTGAAATAACTATGTCTGCCATTGAGAAGAAACTATTTTCCATTTACTTTGTTTACAAGAACAAAGCTTATATATCATGTAAAAATAAAATGAGTGCATACATTCATAAAAAGGAAATTTTGTCTCAGGCAATAAAATATTGATCCTTTAAATACTCACATGGGAATTACCTATGAACTGTTTAAAAATGCAAATTCTTAGGCTCAACTCATTCTTACAGGATCATAAACTCTCAGATAAACAATATGAATTTTTATTACTTATATTTTATAATTAAAATTTATAGTTGTGATTTATAGATTAGAGAAATAAATTTTTACACAGTTTTGGTGATTCTCATACACACTCATGACTGAGAACTAACATTGCTCTAGGATAGTAGGGAAGCAAACAGACTGATAGTTGCCACTCACTTCCAAACTCTTTACTGCAGTTGCCTAGTTATTAACATTGAAGTTCACTAATGCATAGACATAAGAACTTGCATTAATATGTTTCTTCATTTCCAATGTTAATTTTATTAAGTGATGGTGTCAAAGTGATTGAATATCTTTAATATTTATAAATAAGCCAGAGTTATACTACAATTAATCTTTCTCTTTAAATGACCACAGTTATCTAAAGTGCTGCTTAGTGGATCCAATATTATTTCTATTTTAAATATTTTTCTATGTCTCACTGCATATACTTACTAATAGCCATGCCAATATGTGTATTTATTCCAATAAAAAAATACCCAGATAGTTTGAACCTTATGATTAGTAGAATGGTGGTTGTCTGAAAGCAAGATTGAGCAATTGCTTTTTCACTGAGAGCAAGAACTCTGGGAAGAACCAAAAAGAGGAAAGAGCAGGCTGATGGCAGCCCTGTGAGGGCAGGGAAAGCTGGAGAGACACGAAGTGTGTGAGGAGTGGATTGGGAAGTGGAAATGAAGCTTGTGAAGCAGAGCACACACACAAACCTGGTGTGCACCTGGTGTGAACCTAGTATGAACCTAGTGTGAACGTGATGTGAACTGGGATCTCTGGTTTCTCTCTCTGGCTCCTGTTAGATTTAAGGAACATTTTTTACAAGATTATTTTTTTAAAACATTTGGATTTTAGGTAGCTAATGAAAATAATCAAGGAGACCATCAAAGAAAAGAGTAATTAGAGTTTAAAAAAACCTATTTGATAACCTTAGAAAACTTTGACATAATATAGTATATTCTAATGCATATAAAATTATACATATATGTATACTGTACTAATGTTTGTAAAAGTGTCCGAGTAGATTATATTTAAGAACATGAGTGTAATACATTTCTCTGTATATGCACGCATTTAAATTTAATGAAAAAAGGGCATGAATTTCAACGAGAGTAGGGAGCAGTATATTGGAAAGTCTGGAACAATGAAAGAAGAGGAAGGAAGACTGTCATATATAATCGCAAAATTTTAATAAGTTAAATTGTTCCTACAAACACCTTGATAGTTTTATTTTTCAGCTATTTACTTTCTCTAAACCTGCAAATTCTTTCTTAATTCTAAGGGAATACACAGCAAGATGTAGCAAGGAATTTTTCAGTGGGAAGGCTGCCCAGTTGCTTGGACACCAGAGATGTGTTTTCTACTAAGTGCTCTGTCAATCAACTGTCCAGAGAGGTTACTTTCACTCCAGGAGAACCGCCACTACCAGAGACTATCCTAGTTCACCATCCATTTTGCGTCTTTAGCTTTTGTTGAAAGTAGTGGCCAGACAGTTGTTAAAGTTCTAGGCTCCAAATTGAGATCCTTTACTCTTCTTTTATGTCACTATAAGTTACTTTCAGAGCTCTTGTGATCCATATCTTATTACCCATTTAAAGCTGATATACTATTATGAATTGTGTGACACAGAGTTTTGAAACAATGGTTTTATTTGTAGTGATATTCTTGCATGACACCTCTAAATTTCTTATTACATGTATTTGGTGAAGGGGAGCAAACAGGCAGGTGCATACTTCTTTCACCGTGTATGCACAGTTCAGAGGACAACTTGTTTCACTCATTTTTCTACACCATGTAGGTTCAAGGATCCAACTCTGGTTGTCACCTTTGGGAGCAAGCACCTTTACCCCAGGAGTCATTTCAACAGCCCCTGCCCCCATGATTTATAAAAGCAAAGAACTAATCAAATCAATATGAGTGTGTATAAGAACAAAGGATTCACAGACACTAGGAAACTGAAACAGCTAAAGCAGCTACCGGATGTGCAACTTATCCAAAACAGTATTAAAAGCCATTTACCTGGATGTTGTAAACACTCCATAGACAATCGGATTTTTAGGATCTTTAGAGTTCATTAAGAATACATCCTCTGTTTGAAAACACAATTGGAGAAAGTTCTATATTTATTTATTTTACATCTAAGCCTCATTTCCCCCTCCCTTCTCTCCTTTCAGGCCATCTTCCCACCCCTCATCTGTTCCCACCCTCCAGTCCAGTCCTCCTCTTTTTTTATTCAGTAACAGTAGGTCTCCCATGGATATCAACAAACATGGCATATTAAGTTGCAATAAGACTAAGCACTTCACATATGTCCTATGCCTTAAATATCAGTCACTTACGCAATTCATCAAAATGGGTATCAATGCCATTGGGACCTGGCACAGAGCATATCAGACGTGCCTTCAGGAATGTCGTCCATTTATTCACAAGACTTCTGTGTCCGCCAAAGTCATTCTGTAAGGTAATATAAGCTACTGTATAGAGCAAGCATGCACAATAGTGTCAAATATATCTCCATTTTCCACTTCTTAACATCAGGCATGTGAACACAATTCTTCAGTTTTCTATGGATAAGTTTTTAAAAAGGCATCTGTTCTTACAACCAAGAGGTTCCCCATTCTTCAGTTTTAGAATGACTGTATATAAACTGTTATCCTATTTATTATATTGTTTTAAAATTTTTGATTCAAAGTTCAGTAAAAGGCATGTTCACAATAGTCCTTAAATATTACATTTCGTCCATTAATGAGAGTAGTTGACATATACACACTATTTAGTCATTTAATGTGATTAAACCAGGAGGACATGCTAGGTAAATGTAGCTGGATATATTAATATAAATATCATGTGACTCCAATGTTTTATGAGCTCAATGTTAAATTCACAAAAGCAAAGTTTAAAATGATGGTGCACTGAGCTCCTGAGAACAGCGCAATCTAAAGACACATTGGCCAAAGGATAGAAAATTTTGAATAGACAGGAAGAATAGGTTTAAGAGATCTATTTTACATCATGATTGCTATAGGTAAGTTTTAATGTTTCAATTCTTAAAATTGGCTAAGAAAGACTTTTAAGTAACATAACCACATAGAATAAAAATATATGATTTAAAATATTATAATTTGTTTTATTTATCAGTTTGTAAATGTCAAATGATATGCTGTATATGACAAACATATACAACTTTTGCAATTAAAATTTTTAAAGGAAATTTCTTCTCCCACTGTGTTACTATTACTTAATAGGCAATTATTAATTATATGCTTATTCTGGATTAGAATAACTCTCCCTCTTTCTACTGAGCCAGTTTATTTCTATGACTCTTACCTATCTCTGTAGCCTGATTCAGGGATGTTACTATGTGTAAAATAAGCCTTTACTGGCCATCTATTAAATGGATGATGAGTGTATTGCTTATTATCTTCACTGACAAATAAATGCACCACGTCATGCTACTAAAACCAAACACTTGAACAATTTGCAATATTGAAATAATTTATTAATTATAACCAGTATCTTGAGAAAATATTTCTTAGGAAATATTTGAAAATGACTTATTAGTGTAAATAAAACTACTTTTAATGTAAATGTAACTCTGAAATCCATTGCAAAGGAATATATTTACCAGAAGATACTATCTTTAAAAATATTTTATGTACAATTGTCACAATAACAGTTTTCTTAAAATTAGGATATCAATTTATATTCTATTTATATAGTGTTTATATTATACACACATTTATAACTCTGTAGCTAATATGTTAAACTTATTTAACTTATTTAAAAAGGTATGATTGACTTACATATTTTTCTGTGTTTCCAAATTACAAAAAAAAGCTTTTCTAGAAATCAATTATACTGTATAATCAGATCATAATGTAATAACAAAGAGATCAGAAAGACACTACTTATTTTTTTCTATCTATACAACTATTATTTAACATTACACCACATTAAACACTGAATCCTCTCGAAAAATAATATCAGATCATATCATTCAGACATTTGTATGTTTTGAATAAGAACCTATATGCATGATGGAATTATCAATTTGTAAAAATAAGATATCCTAATTTCCTATCAATATTCAATGTTTTATCTGTATTCCAGTACCAGATATCCATTCAAAAAACAGTGTAGGAAACTGTTAAATCTGAAAATGTAGAAGGTAGATTCTTCTAGGCAACATTTCATACTATTCATACAGGAAAATCGTTGTATTCTATGATTTCAAAGCAAGATAGTTAATGTAATTGTGAAGTAGTGTTACTTCATAATCTCTAATCATATCCCTATGTTTGACCTTCCAACTTTCTCAAAAGTAATTAATTTTAATATATTTTTCAATTATTTTAAAGGTTTAAATACTTGTCATTAGATACATATTAAACTCTTACATCAGTGGAAAATAAAACAAAATGAATTTGTGAATGAAATGAACAATTCCTTTTTTTTCTTTACCTCACCTTGCATATCTGACCAATTCTAGCATGAGTGGCTTTCCCAGAATGTTCTCCATCTATTGCATTTTCTCGGAAGAAAAAATACACTTTGTCATCTTCAGGATTGTCACTTTCTGGGATTAGATGAGCACTGATGAATCTAGGATCTGAAAAAAAATCATACTTATCAATCTGCAGTTTAGTGAATAATGATGGTCTATAGAGTTTATTTTTACTTTCGTTTGACTCCCTTTGCTATATGTTAAGACAGTATTTCCTTGCTTAATTCACTTTGTTTTTTGCTCATTTCACCCGATGCCTATCCATTAGGAATTATTTTAATATATTATATTTATGTCAGCAAAACAATTTTGTTCAGAGTGATTATCAAAATTCTTTGCAATATTTAGCATTAAAGTGTTCCTTGTTACTGCATGTGGTTATTCTTCCTTTATTGTATAAAATTCCATTTAAAAAAGTATTGATTAGTTCCTTCCTGTTCTCATTAAACACTTGGAGGGGATCAAAGGTAAAAATCCGTATAAAGCAACAGAACTGCCTATTCCCATTCACTTTCCAGTTCCCAATCCAGAATTTGTCAACATCATTTTACTACTCAGACCCAGTGTGGTGTCCTCTGAGATTCTGTACTCTCATGTTCTAAGTTCTGTCTAGCAGTATACCCCTATACATAAACACATCATATCACAACTCCAAGGCCAATACTAACAACACAGACCATTAAACATTTTCTCCACCAGTCTGTTCTTAGTTTACTGCCTGCCTACTCTCTCTCTCTCTCTCTCTCTCTCTCTCTCTCTCTCTCTCTCTCTGTCTCTCTCTCTGTGTCTCTCTAGACAGGGTCTCTCTGTGTGCCTTTGGAGTCTTTGCTTGATCTCACTCTGTAGACCAGGCTGGCCTCAAACTCATAGAGATCCTCCTGCCTCTGCCTCTCGAGTGCTGGGATTAAAGGCATGTGCCACCACTGGCACCTTCCATATGTCTTTATTCAACAAGCAGAATGAGTCACTGTTCCATCATACTTGTCTGCAGCCACTCTATGTTCTTCACTACTCATTTAGTAATAAAATCAAAATACGGTAACCAGAAGCAGTGGCATATTCTGTGCTAACTGACATATATTTTCTTCTGCATACTTTTTCATCCCAACATTCTTCTGGACAACAATTCTAACACTGGTCCTGGTTCTCAAACATGCTATGCACAATTTGTTCTGTTTTGGATCTTTTCCATCTGGCTAACACTGCGTTCAGGTAACCTCAAGCTCAAATACAACAAATCCAACTCAACTCAGGTCTTTCTTCAAATATCATATGATTAGGTAAAGCATTGACACCCACTTCTTCTCTATTATGTTTTCTTTCTCCAACACTATTGAGTATTTCATCTGATTGATTCACATCTTGTGTTTCTCCCCCCTCTTTCTCTCTCTCTCTGTATGCATGTGACTGCATGTGAATGTGTATGTGTCTGTCTCTCTGTGTCTCTTATTTAAATTTGTTATAACGTGCCTCTGTATCCACCCAAAAGTATAGAAATTAGCACATTTTGTTCATTCTGTAGACTACAATCTTGAACTAAAGTATAAAATGTGATAAAAACAAGAGGTATTTCTGAATAAGGAAAAGTGGAAAAATGACAAACAATGTAAAATCTACTAATAATAGTAGAATGTATGTGAACAATCTTTAGAGTACCTCCTTCAAAAACCCCTCAGTAAACAACTGGGTTGAAATGGATATACATCCCATGAACTAAATTTGTGTAATAGTTTAAAGTGTTACCATGCAGTATGCTGCAAAGCTGTGTTCAACTCATGGAAAGCTTTTTTTTAGGATAGTGCAGACATCTAAAAATCTTCACACCTGTGATCAATTTTGTTATCAATGTAATAATAGTAAATGAACATCATATTGTCTACACCATACTTAAGGTGAAATGAACAAACCATGAGGCTAACTTTATTTGTGTGAGCTCTACATCACTTAGTCCTGATCTTAAGCTTTAAACAGTCAACATTGTCATGTGTTCTATAGTTGTGACATATTTTGAATTTACTCTGGGATAATATGCTCCCAAATATGCTTCACAACGATACACATTACTTCATTTCATGTTAATTATACAGACTCTGCAACTAATGTAGAATATATGAAATACGTCTGGTGTGCAAGAATAATAGAGTAATAATTTAAAGATAGAATCACCTAGAGTTAGAGGTCAAGATATTTAAAAGATTAATGCCTTTAAATTAACAACTATTTATGAACTTGTTTTAGTGAATAAAAGTCTGCTTGGTAATATACCTCCATATATTTGCACACACATGCCTTATGAGGAATGTCAAACAAAATATCGTGATATAGTAAGCCTACCTGCAATAAGTCAAGAGTCACTAATACATGGATGAGGTTCAACTCTCATAATTGGTGTGTGTGTGTGTGTGTGTGTGTGTGTGTGTGTGTGCGCGCACGCGTGCGCTCGTGCACATGTACACGTGTGCATGTGGGTACCTGTATGAAAATCACATGTGCATCAGTAATTTAAACAATTCTGAATCTAAACTAACTTCATTCATTTGGAACTTTTGGGTGATCTTTGGCATTTGTTTTCTTTTTAGAGTTAAGAGGCTTACTTTTCAACGTGATTTAGTTTAAATCGAGATATTTTTAGTAAGTTTCTACCATTTTTTTTTTAACCTTAAAGAGTTTATATAAAGAGTGAGGATTTTAAATTTAGGTAAAAGCATGTGATGTTACCATATATGTAGTTAAAACTTTGCTAACATATAAAAGAAACATTATGCTAAGCCTGAATATCATCCTCTATGGCAGCTATAGGAAAATGGTGAAATCATACAAATTTTCTGCTTTAGTACTGGAGAAATAGCTGTAGAAGTTGGTCAAATGTCACCTTCTAAACTGATGCATTTGTTTCCACAAATACTGGCCTAACAAAGAATTTAAAGTAACTATTTTTAACTGCCATTTGTTAGATTCTTTCTTGTGGAAATTTAATCTATTTTTAATAAGATTGAAAGACACACATTTGTAAGAATATAATTAACTAAATCAATTTGAGAGAGGAAGTAAGATAATTTACTAAACATTCTCTCATGACCAAGTTTAAACTTAAGAAAATGCCATCATCTACACTTATACTTTGTTTTTTTTTATTATTTTTCCATTTTTAATGTTTTTAACACATTTTATATCAGTGTAGCTTTATGAGAAGGAATACATTGTGTTTTCAATTCATTATTCAAATAGATTTTTCAGTCTTCTCTTACCATCTACATTATCAATTTATTAAATATTTTCTAAGTATCTACACTCTATTTTTTATTAGAGAAGATCACAAGTTATTACAATAGAATATCTTCAGTATTCAAGATGGTGATTGTCACCAAATATTCAACAAGTAAATATCCTAATTCTTAAGAGTTTAGAAATAATACAGTAAATAAATGCCACTTGCTTTTTCTTAGAAGCAACGATGTGAGGGACAAGGGATGTCTCATGAAGGAAAACATGTACAAGGTGATAGAAACATCAGAGAACAACCATGTCCACAGAGAAGATAAAATGTAAGGGAAGTGGTCAGAGATATTTACAGAAAGCTAAGATCTGAGATATGGAGTTCTACTCATGGATGTGCATCTCACCACTCAGTAGGGAGAAACAACAAAACATTTGAAAGATAATCTCATTGTCTCACTGTATGGAAGGATTATTGTTACTTTGTTGCTTTAAAGAATAAAATAAGAGATGGGGTGGAAGTGGACAGAAAAAAAGGCACAGTAAGGCAAGAAGGAAGGCTGGCCCACCAAACTGAAGCATCAGCAGAGCCAAAAGAGAAGCAACAGTAGCCTGGTTGAGTAAGGGGCAGTGAAGATGAAATAAAGGATACAGGGACAGATTACTTTTAATTAATTTGATGGCTTCTATTCATTGGTAGAAAATTAATGCTTGGAGTAATGAATAAAACCATGGAAAATAAAGAAACTTCTGATTTAAACCAGTGGCTGAAGAAAGGTCACTTTACAGAAAGAGAGAGAGTGTGGACAAGGGTCAAATGGAGAGGTGAAGGAATATGGCCTCTGTTTAGGGCACCTGAGACTGAAGGACATACTCCTTTCCCCACACATCATGAAAAAGTATTAATTACCCATGGAAGAAAGCTGCTCCTATTTGAAATGCAGGTGGTGAAATGACTAGTAAGATATTGGCTAAAATCTAATGGAGTATAACCCTTGATGTGGTTTGAATATAAAAATGTCCAGAGATATACAAGGATGACTCCAACTAACAATCTAAGAAGTGGAGAGGCTACCTTAAATGCCCTTCCCTGATAATGATATATGCCATCTTAGAGCCTTTATCTAGTAGCTGATAGAAGCAGAAGAAGACACCCACAGCTAAACACTGAACTGAATTCCTGGAATCCATTTGTAGACAAGGAGAAGTGATGAGCAAAGTGGTCAAGACCAGGTTGGAGAAACCCACAGAGACACCTGACCCGAACAAGGGTGAGCTCATGCACCCTAGTCTGATATATGGGAAACCAGCATAGGACCCATCCAGACCTCCTGAATGTGCGTGTTATTTAGGAGGACTGTGCAGTCTATGGGGCCTCTGGTAGTGGATCAGTATTTATCCCTAGTATAAGAATGGACTTTGGGAGCCCATACCACATAGAGGGATACCCTCTCAGCCTAGACACATGGGGGAGGTCCTAGACCTTGCTCCAAATGATATGACAGACTTTGAAGACTACCCATGGAAAGCCTCAGCCTCCATGAAAGGGCATGGGATGGGGGTTGAGAGGGGGAAAAGGGAGGACAGGAGGGTGCAGGAACTGGGATTGATATGTAAAACAAGCTTGTTTCAAATTTAAATTAAAATATATATATAAAGTTGCTACTTACAAGCTCAGAGACACTTGGTCCCCAGTGTGCAAGGCCAGTTTCAGGTGAAGAGTGACCTTTGGCACATTCAGTCTAAGTGGAATGTGGTTTCTGACTTCTAGTCCCACCCCATTTCCTGTCCCTTTAATTCTCAATTTCTGTACTACTCTCAGGACAGTTTCCATTGCCTAAACACAGACCTTCTTTGTCAGCCTGGAGTATATCCCTTAACTTACAGAT